GCCCTCGGGCTAAGATTTCTCTACAATTCTGCAGTATCTCAGCATTTCAAATGTGTATAAGAACTGTACAGCCCACGAAGCTTTAAAAATAAAACAGGAGACCAGCTCCATCTCTGTGTCTACAGTGCATAAGGAAGAAAATGAACAAAATTGCAACCTCTTACTGCTCTTTTGGCATTAATCATGACTTACCATCCTGAGTGGGTGAGTGTCTAATTAACCACTCATCAATCTCAAAGTTTTAAAAGCGCTGTCATTCCCCTCGGGCTGGAGATCTTCTGCCTACTTTCTGCTATTTGCAAGGCAGGAAATCTGTGTCTTGATGGAACTCACAGGAAGAGAAAGAAACTCCATGCTGCTTCTTTTTGGCCAAGCCACCTCCATCTGTCTACCTCCTCCATCTGCTCCCTTTGATCCACCCTGGGTGTGATTACTCCTTTGGCCTCTGTTCTACCCACAGCTCCTGAGGCCCAAGAATTTCAGTTCACACACCTCTAGCCAAATGTTTTTCTTGCTTCATAATATTTTTGGAGACATAGTTGCCCTAAGAATTCTTCCAATTATAACAAACTCCTGTCACTCTAACAATTTTTACACAAGCTGGGCTCTTATTAGGAGCGCTTCAGGGTCTAGTATTGCTGCCCTCCCTTGTGTTGATGTAGTAATGTATTTTGGGGTACAGATGTATGGATTTTTCTGCAGCTGTGTCTTGATGGGTCATGTGTTCTACAAGAGAAGACTTCTTGATTTTTCTGGCTAACACAAGTATTATTACTCAGAACTTTATATGTCTACATGATTTCATATTAATACTACTGGCTCATTCTCATAACACATATGAAAGACATTTTTTAAAAGTGTAGACTTTGATGGAAAAGTCCATAACTTATTCTAAGCATTTTGGATCACATTCAGCAGTGAGTAGATAAGGATTTACCACCCGCATGTTTGAGATTCAAAGCTTGACCCAGTAAACCATATACGTCATCCTGTGAACAGAATTGCACAGTCTTTGTTCCTGAAATTTTGATTTTAAAATATGTTATAGAATTTTTATTCTTGGTTTAAAATTCAGTCTTTCATTAACATTTTAGAGATTAAATTCTAAGTAAAGTACAACAAAGCTACTGGACGTAAAGAGTGAGTCTGGAAAGATTGCAGGACTAAAGGACAATATATGAAAAATACATTCTATGAACAGACAACTAGAAATTGAAATGATAAAAGGTAGTACTATTTACAACACAATCAAGAAATTCCTAGGTACTATGAAATATGTATATGTAATATCCATATGCTGAAAACCAGAAATAACTGGTGGAAAAAGCAGAGACCTAAACAAATAGACATATACTGTTTTTAGAACAAAAGAGTAAATATTAAGGTACCAGTTCTTTCCAAACTAATATACAGATTCATCACAATTCAAATCAAAACCCCAGTGATATTTTTAAAATAGATACTGACAAGCTATTTTTAACATTTATGTGGAAATGCAGAGGAACTAGAATAGCCAAAACATCCTGGCAAGGTAAACAAAAGTTAGAGGACTCACTATTGAATCCGAAGACTTATTTAAAGCTAAATAATCAAGGCAATGTCAAATTGATGAAAGGATAGACACATGAATAAGAAGAGCAGATCTGAGCTGCTAGAAACACATACATATATGGTCAAAGCAAAGAGCATTGTCTAGTTAACATGGAACTAAAACAATTGAGTATTTTGGATATTAATATGCAAAAAAATGAATCTTGATCCACACTTTGCATATTCTTCAACTCAGAATGGATCATGTATAAATACAAAAGTTATTAAATATATAAAAGAAAATGTAGGAAAAATAATCATGACCTTATGTTAAGCAAAGACTTTAAAAACATATAATAATAGATAAATTAGACTTTAGCAAAATTGGAAATGTTTATTGTATGAAAGATACTGCTAAGATATTAAAAAGACAAGAAATGGACCAGCAGAAAATAGTTTTAAAACATTTATGTATATACACACTATATATATAGTATATATAATAGTTTAAAATATATATACATATATATATCTCCCCCAGGGATTGAACCCAGGGGTGCTCAACCACTAAACCACATCCCCAGCCCCTTTTATTTTTTATTTTGAGATAGAGTCTTGTTAAGTTGCTTATCTCCTTGCTAAGTTGCTGAGGCTGTCTTTGAACTTGGGATCACCTCCAGAGTAGATGGGATTACAGGCATGTGCCATCATGCCCAGAAAACATTTTAAAACATATCTGACAAAGGATTTGTATCTAGGAAAAAAATCTATCAAAAGTCAACAATAGAAAACAAACAATACAATTAAAAATGGGCAAAAGTTTTAAAAATTATTTTACAAAGAAGATAGATGTCAAATAAGTACATGAAAAGATATTCAATATTATTAGTCATTGTGAAAATGTAAAATACATATGTAATGTAAATTAAAATCAATGCAATAATATTAGAAATCTGTAAGAAAGTCTAAAAACAAAACAAAAACTGACAATAATGAAGCATAGCACAATTATAACTCTCATGTATTGTTAGTGGAAATACAGAAGAGTAGGGTAACTTTGGAAATATTTTCTGGTTTCTTAAGTTAAAAACAGATTTGTCATATGGCTCCCACAGTTTCATTCCTAAGATTTTATTCAAAAGAAACGAAAACTTATGTTCACTCAAAAACTTGAGTATGAATGCTCAGAATGCCTTTATAATAATCCAAAACCAGCATATACCCAAATATACTTCAACTGGTGAATAGATAAACAAACTGTGGTATATCCATACACTCAGAAATGAAACAGAATGAACTACTAAAAAACATAACAACATGAGTGAATCTTAAATGCATTACACCAAGGGAAAGAAGACAGGCTAAAAAGGCTACATACTGTTTTAATTTCCTTTGTATAGTACTCTGGTAAAGGGAAAACTATAGGCAGAAAAAAATAAATCAGTAGTTGCTGAGATTGGAAGTAGGGGTAGAAGTTGACAATTAGAACCAGGGTACTGGGGGTGATGGAGCTGTTCTGTGTCTACACAGTGGTGGTGGTCTTATATGACTGTAGGCATTTGTCAAAACTCAAAAAAAAATGTGCACTAAAAATAGTGAATTTCATTTTATATATACACCATACTTCAATTTAAGGAAAACACTCCATGTATGTATGATATAAAATACACTCTACTGCCATGTATAATTAAAAAGAACAAATAAAAAAAATTTAAGAAAAACATTAAAAAATTTAATGAGAAAAAGGTAATGTAATATAACTTAAAAAAATAAAGCTTTTCTTTCTTTTTTTTTTCAGTGCCAACTAGCAATTAACATGCTCATCGAACAATAAGAGGAAACACTCAGGATGAGGTACTGGCTGAAAAGTACTGAGTGAAATGAATGCTCTGAAAAGGAATATGCTCCTGCATGGCAGGTGCCTTTAACAAGAAGACAGAAAAAAAACACTTTTCCAGTTCATTACATTTAAAGAATCACAACCAAATCATCCATTCAACTCTCAAACTCTCAAAAAAGGCATTTTGTGCTTATTTGTTTTCTAGTTCAAATAGCCTGTTCCTGTTCAAATTTATGAAGAGTTCTTAGCTCTTCTACCTGTCCAGATTGTTATCTTGAACTTGAGCAAACTCACAGTATTGCTTTCTTGAACATTCAAGGATATTTTTAAATACAAATCTATTTTCACATAGGAACCATGAAGTGACTGACTTGGGATCACAAAAATACTTATGTCAGAAGATTTAGCAATCCTAAAAATAAGATGATTTTACATACTTCTAATGTGCATTGGTTTCTCCTAATGTTGACAAGCTTTGGTCATCATTATTTTCCCCTCACACTACCATCTTTTGTATGCTAATGCAGAATGTACTAGAAAGAACCCTGCACTGAAGGTCACTGATATTGGATTTAAGGTGCTTTCCAACTTGTAACAAGCTATACTACCTTAGTGAAATAACTTATTGCTCAATAACTAATACTCACCTCCAACTCTGACCTTTCTCCAGTGCCTTCATTAGTAAATTTCAGAATCTTACAGACAAAGATCTCCTCTTATGCAGAATATAGATTATATTGAATGCTTTAGTACCCAAACAGTAATGTTACTTATTTGTTCATGTATTCATACCTCACTTATTTCACTAGGTTTCTCCAATTCCACTATAAAGTGTTTAAGAGGAGAGAATTATTCACACATACATCTTTGTCTCCTATAGCATCTATCACACTGCAAAATCTTCAATATGCTGGTTTGCTGATGATATAATTATTTGGCTTTAGATTTTCTAATTTCAGAATAATCAATTGACTTTGCAAAAAAGAATATAGTCAAGTGTGACAAACTCATGGAGGTTTCTAGAGCCTTTCCTGATCTCTCATGCTAGGCCACCCCTATCGTTTCCTCCCACTATCTCATCTATATCTTCCAACTTATGCTTATATCCTCATCCTATTTTACTTTTCGGGGGATGGTGGTACTAGGGATTGAACTTAGGTGCACTCTCCCAGTGAGCCACATCCCTAGCCCTATTTTGTATTTTATTTAGAGACAGGATCTCACTAGTGTAGTGCCTCGATAAATTGCTGAGGCTGGCTTTGAACTTGCAATCTTCCTGTCTTAAGTCTCGAGAGCCACTGGGATTACAGGTGTGCACCACTACGCCTGGCCCCATTTTACTTTTAATAGCATTTAACACATTCTGAAATAACCTTTCCTCTTCTTTCTCTCTTCTCTTCCTTTTTCCTAATCCAGTGTCTCCAGTTTCCTACCAGAATTTAAGTTCCATGAAAGCATGAATTGATCATGCTCACTGTAATATACTCAGAAACTTGATCTTGTCCAAAACATAATAGGGATAATAAGTACATAATACATATTTACTGAATTGTTAAACTTGTTCCTCAATTTAGTATACCTACTGGAGGCTGACCAATAGAAAGAAAGAAAACCACTTCACATGATTTACCTGCAAAGAGGTTCTACAAGGTCCTTTTCAAGAAAATCATGATCATTCTTGACACCCACAATGTTGATGGGAAATTGTGAATCTGAGGGAGAAAAAGGGAGAGACAAAGATGTTCATGCGCCTTGTTTTATCTGAATGGGTACCAACATATTCGGGTCACTAAGGTCTGTACAAGCCACAGAATTTAATAGCAGTTAGGATCAATTACCACTGTTGGTGTTGTTTAATATAGCAGATAATTTTTATCACAGTGAATGCTTTTGAGAGTACAATGTAAATGTGAAATATGAGAATAATCAAGTGCTTGACCTTGGGTAGAATTAAATACTAAGTGCCTACATTTTTATAGCTTATCCTTATTATAGACATCCTGAGGCCGATTAGGGCTTGGAGGAGAGCTTATATACTCTCACCAGCCTCCTAAAGTGTGGGTCACTGACTTCTGTCCTAATGATTCATGGAATGCTTAGTATGGCAGATTTTCTTTTTTCCTTCAAAAAGGACATTTACCAAAATACCCAAAGTTCAATGGACTCAAATGTTTTCTTTTGTAGCAAAATCTTGAGTCACTTTGAAGTGCAAGTAAAATGCTCAAACGATTGATTCTATCAAAAGAGAAGGAAAAATTTCAATAACATGACTTTTCTCCAACAGACAATCCATGCCAGCTTTGGAGGTCAATGATAATCTTCAGAAACATGGAATTAATTTTAGTCAACTTATTGATGTAGGTAAAAATCAGGAGATCATTGGGCATAGGGATCATCATCAATTTTAACAATGTTGGTTCATTCTTTTTCATCTTATATTCTGTACTGCCTATATCTTGTCAGTCATGATAAATCTAATGGTATCTAAATCTCAGTGTGCACTGGAAACAGAAACAATTTCTCTTCTGTCAAAATAATAATAATAATAATTATGTGTTTAAATTCCAGATGGTCCCAGAATGAAGACTTGTCTCATTCTATCAGCAAGTGTGTTATAGTAAGGAGTAGACACTGACACCAGTGGTCCTGGCTTTGAGTTCTGATTACTTCTTAGCTATGAAACTGGGGGCAAGATACTTACCTTTCTTTGGGCCTCTGTTTCCTCATCTATAAAATGGTGATGATGATAATTATAATATCCACCTCACGGCAGTGTTGTGAATATTAACATATAATATAAGTAATGTGCTCTGAAGAATACTTGACACATAGCCTTATAGAAGTACTTGGTCTTGTTACATTTAGTCTATACAAGTGTCTTAAACCAAATCAGAGAGGCACATGTAACTTAGGAGCTAAGCTATCTTTACCTCTTAGATATTTGTGGAATCTTTAACATTTAAATCTCATTGTATTTTAAGTTTATAAGAGATTGTACATTATGGAAAATATGCTCATTAAGGATCAAGGATTTTAGTTCTGACAGCTTCCTCTTTGGAAATGCCATTTAAGCTCAACCTTAAGCTTCTTATTCCTCATTAGTAAACTGGTGAAAATGGGAGTGAGGGAGAATTGCACAAACCATTTAAACCTTAGAAGATTGTTCCTTGTCTAAAAGGTGACAATTCTATGAAAACTTTTACCAGAGATCCTAGATCACAAACACATTCAGAAATAAGCTCTCCTTTATCTTTTCAGAATTTAAGTGAGAGAAGTAAAATGCTCTGCTTTTTAATATAAAACTGAGCTTCCAGATGAAGGGATAAAGTTGCCTCTAAGTAAAAATTACTTTTGTTGATTATTTTCATTCTACATAAATTTCATGCCATCAGGAGAGAAGTCAGCAATGTTTAGTGTGCTGGGTATCCTCTGGGTAGTCCTGCAGACCTACCCTCCATTTCTGTTTCTCTGTGCCCTGCTTTGTGCCCTATTGGGATATATGACATCCCAGGGGACCCGTGCCCTCTGGCTTCCTTTCATGTTTGATCAGTGGGAAGCCCTGACTGGAGTCTAAAAGAGGAGCTTAAGGTCAGGATAGTTATCCTCTGGTTCTTGACAGTGAAGGCTGCCCAGGGCCAGCTGTGTGCTCCCAAGAGTCTCTTCTAGTCTCCTCTCCCCTGGGCTCTGGCACCTCTCCTTTCCTGCTTTGGGTTTGGTATGACAGCTCTGTTGCACTGCTCCTCATGGATTCCATATCCTGTCCACACCTTTGTAATGAACCCATTAGCAATAATCCTTTGCAGATGAGCTCGACTATGCCATCTGTTCATTGCTGGGTTCCTTACAAATACACTTCGAATAAGGACCATTCAACAAGAAGTTAAAAGCTGTGGTTATTTTTTTATATATGTAGAGGTGAAAAGAAATTACAAACCAACTAATTCTGAGACTTCTAAGAAGTTTTAACAACTGATTTATTGCAGTTTTAAGAAAATGAGCATAGCAGAGAAAAAGCCAGGAAAAAGGTACAGAAAAGCTGCTGATAGCAAAACCTTGGAAGGAAAACAGATGTGGGGGTTTCTGGTAAAGAGATGAGCATTGTAGTGGGAAGCAGAAAGAAACCAGGCTTGGGAAGAGATTCTCATTTCCAAGTTGGTATCAGGACAAGCCTTGAGCATTGCAAAAGCTGAGGGGACAAGAAAGCAAAGCAAAACAGTAAAAGACCTGGAAAATAAAACGATCCATATGGTTCATTTTGAATTTTATTCTCTTTGTAAAGAACAAAGAGAAGGGCTGAACGTACCTTCGTATAACTGTGCGTATTGTGGGAACCCAGCAGCCCGCAGCCAGTCACATGCTTCCTTTGCCTCAATTTCTGAAAAATATGAGAAAAAGAAAATTGTGAGTTCAACAGGCACACCCCAGCACTCTGTCTCCTTCATTGAGAAGATGCTAGTGAGCTTTGTGCAAGTTGTTACAAGGCAAAATTGTTCTCAGGTAATTCTGTATAAGTCGCCCCATCCCAAAATGGGTGTAAAATGAACAGGCAACATAAAGGACCTTGTTATGTAAAGTTATCTTCACTGTAGATCCATAAGTATGGAGGTAATAACAAAACCACAGAAGACAGAACATAAAGGTTGAGTTTCAGGCAGGGAAAAATATCTTATTATACACCAGGGAACCAGGGGAGTAGGTAGGAGGAAGGAAGACTTCTTTATAATCCTCTTTTTAATGGCTTTGTTTGAGTTTCCAAGATAAGGTTAAGGGTATTTATTCAACATTCCTTTATTCTTTCACTCTTGGAATAATGAAAGACCACAACTGGGTAGTCTATGAAAATGTATTTTTCTCATGAAGGGAGGTATTACAAAAATCCAAGGTATTATTATTCCTTTAATTTCACTGATGACCTTAATTCCCAATGCATTTTAACAAGATGTTCATTCATCAAGCACAACTGAATGATTTCCAGCTCAGAGTGCGTGCGGCATGGAAAAGAAAATGGAGACTTGAGTTTGATAGGGCTACTAGAATCTCTGGGGGCCAAGCCCAAAATGTTATATCCTTCAGGCAACCATTGAAGGGTCACCCAAAGGACCACCCAACCACCTGCCTGGGAAAGCTGTGGTGTGAGATGGGAGGAGTCCAGTGTGTGAATCAGGTCACCGTTCGACCTTATGAATCCTGATCATTTCTCAGCCATAACTCTGTTAAATAAACGACTCTGAGGGAAAAGAAATTCATCTGTCAAAAGTCCAGTTTCTCCAAACAAAATCAAACAGCTGATTGTAACAGGTCTCTACCAAGGAGCTTCTTCTGCTTTTGGGATGGGCCCACCACAGGTCAGTGCATTTCCATTTACTGTGATGTTTGGTTTCCCCAGAGCCAAAGCTGGAGAGTCCAGGCCTTCTTAGGACCACTGTGCAGAATCCATCTGCACTAACATTGGCCATGGGCTTGAGACTGTACCTCTATGGTGAAAGCTCAGTATAATATAATGTTTGATATGACAAAAACATTTGGTATATATGTTAGGAAAATAGACCAAAGTCCAGTTCTTACTCTCTAAAACAAAGAGCAAAAGTTATATCTCTGACCACTGATCTGGTTAGACCTAGATTGAAATTTGTCAGTAAATTCAGAGAAGCAGAGCCTTTGGTGATTCCTGCCCCAAAGAGTTTGTTTCTTTGGCATTCCTTAATCTGTTGTCACCCCAGGGACTGACAATTTCTAAATTTGAGTTCTATCCCTGATGTGTGACCAGCACAGATCCAACATGTTCTCATTCCTGCCATATACATGTTTCAGAAATATCTGGGGTACCAAGTTGGAAATAAAAGCTTTGGAAAATATTTTTACTAAAGAGGAGGGTCTATGTTTCACAAAGGCTGTTCAAACCAGAGCTTTGGCTACATAATGCTTCACTGGCTAACCTGTGCTTTCCCTTTGGAAGGTGCACAGGGCAATTCATGTATTGCCTGCAGGTTCTGTTCAGTACTCGTTTGAGAATCCTTATGTGAAGGCTTTTACTCTGATAATCACAGACTATTTCACAGTAAATAGAAAAGGCACCTTCTATTTGTTACACTTAGAAAATGTAGTGAGTCTCTACTGAGTCATAGATAAATTGATGCCCTATAAATTTTCAAGCTTGAGATTTGCTTTCCGCTTCAATACGATACAGTGGGTAATAATGAGAAAATACCTAATTTCTAGACATGCTTTAAATTTGATTATGTGATAGCAAACTTTAGAGAGAAGCAGAGAATTTTATATTTTCTATTTAAATTACATCAATACTTTGTTCTATTTAATTATCACTTTAACTATGATCAAAATGTAGTGTTAAACAAGAGAATTTGAGAGAGCCAGGCCATGAAGAACAAATGAAGGGGACCCAGAAGATAGGGGTTATACAACACAGAAGCTCAAAGGAGATTAGGAAGTGAGAACAGGAATCAGTATGCACTCCACCAGGCTGGGGATGGGAGGGATGACAAGGTGGGGAGAAGTGGACAGCCAGGGGTCCTTCCAGAAAAACTTTTGGAGCTAAAAACTCTGGTTGGGCAGTGGGATGGGGTTGAGGCTAGATGGGGAGATGCTGGGGTTTTTCAATTTAAAATGAAATGATAATTTCATTTCATTTTTCCCCAAACAGAAGCAACATTGATAATGAATTGAAATCTTAAAATCTTATTCATATACAAATATGAATAACTAAATCTTCACCAGAACCCCGATAAATCAATTGCTCAATGGACTTGTTTTTTTGTTTGTTTCTTAAATGGGTAGGCATTTATCTTTTAGGTCTGAAAATCAAATGGCAACAGAGTAACTCTAAAACACTCCCCCACACTTGAGCTCCTAGAGCCACATTGCTCCCACACTTAATTACTGTCTATTTACGAAGTGTTCCTCAAACACATGCTATCTTTCCCATTCCCTTATAAGACCCAATTATATGCTACCTTCCAAAGACATCTTGTCTCAGTTGAAGGCAGAACAAATCTTATTTACTGGTCAGTGATGAAGCAAACAAACAAAATTACCTGGCACAATTAACCACTCTCAAATTTGATTTTGCATATGAAATTGAGTTGGAGGCTCTTGCAATTTCTATTGATATCCTATAGTCCCTACTAACACCTATCAGCCAAACACTAATGTTTTCCCCAGGCCTGTTATAGTGGCCCATCCAGGAAAATTAAAAAGGAATCATATTGCCGGTGTCATCATTTCACAAAGATTTCCCTAATGAGATTTAAATGACATTTGAGGAGAAAAGTATGAAAATCTCCTTTTTTAATGTGCTCTTATTAGCCAGCATCATATTACATAAAAGCACTAAGAGCTATTAAAATCACATTTTAACAATTTAATTTGTTTCCCATTTAACCATTACCTGCCCTGTAGTAGCTCCGGGGTTACAAGGCAGAGCATCAACTCATTGAAACTTTCTTGCTGAAAACCTGAGTTATGGAGTGGAACTAGAGAATGCCACTGGACAGAAGAGCCTGCAGATCTCTATGAATGTTACTGTGCCATAGTAGTTCTCCCTTATACATAGGAATATGGCCTAAGACTTCCAGTGAGTGCCAGAAACCCTATATCAAACATGGCATATACTATGGTTTTTGATCTAATAACTGAGATGCCTACTAAGCAACTAACAGGTAGGTAGCTTATATATAGCATGGTTATACTTGGACAAGAGGCCAATTCATATGCCAAGTGAGACAGAACGAGATGGTATAGGGATAGTATGAGATTTAATCATGCTGCCAGGATAGTGTACAATTTTAAACAAATGAATTGTTTATTTATGGCACTTTCCATTTAACATTTTCTAACTGAGGTTGACTCTGAGTAACTGAAATTGTGGAAAGTGAAATTGTGGGTAAGGAGAGGGGACAATTGTACTTTGCTGGGGAAAATGCTATTCATTTGGCTGGTTATTATGACAGCATTTCAACAGAAGTTTTGTAATTAGTCATTCCATTTTGGTTTATAGTAGGTATCTGTTTTTGCCTGCTCAACATTCTTCCCTGCTTCTCCTGATAATAGAACCTCTCTATGTGAGGAACATCTTTTGTATGGTTTAAGAGGGGGTGAGAGCTCTTGCCCCCCGCCACATACCTGATCCTATAACCACTACCCACCTGAGAAGTCCTGCTTCTCTAAGCGGCATCTCTCTGCCTTTAGTCTATGAAGATTAAGGAGCTTTGGGACCTTAGGTCAACAGTCATTTGGGAATGAAATCAACTGGTTGAAAGGGGGCACACACAGTTTTTCACTTGGTGGCTTGATCTGCACAAAAACCAAGCAATCCTTTTCATTTGGTTTACTCACAAATTCAGTAGGTGGTTTGGTGCTAGGCACAATTTCCTGCCACCTGTCTGCCATTCCACTTGAGGCAAAATCACTGTTTTGCCTCAGTTGCTTTTACCTAAACCTAGGAGCAAATTTGCTGTATTCAATTTAGATTCTTATGTGATTGACAGCCAGTTGTTTAGAATAAAATGTGAACCTGATTGACAGCAGTTGCTCAGAAAATGACATTACCTTTATTCAAAGACAGACCTGGTAAGAGAGGCTAACTCACTGGAGCCTGAGGGAGGGGACATTCCTATGGGCATGAGAACAAAGCCACTACGGAGGAAACATACCAGGGCCAATGATATGTTTTTACAAAGCATTATCATGTTTCTTAATTATACATGTTCAATTTTAAAAGCTTATAAAAGAAAATTCTGAAAGTCACAATAAAAGGAAAAAATCAACTCTTGTCCCATTACTAACACATAATTTGATGTATCTTGTCAAAGTGGTAATATGGTAATAATATCTTAGGTTGACTGCTTTTTTTTTTTACATAATTATACATCGTGAATATTTTCCCATACAATGACATTGTTTATAAAAAAAAAGAAAATTTACTTTGTTTTGGGAATGATGCTTATTTTTTAAATATTTGATTTTTGAATAACGCCAAATTGTATTTTACTGCTGGGAGGATGGAACATGAAGGGAGCCAAGAAAAAATACTTCAGCAAGACCTTCTCAGTGCAGAAGGCTGGAAGTCCATGTGAGATTTACACCCTGTTTCTTTCAAGAATTCTTTAAAGAATTGTTAATTTAGTGATTTTGGATATGAACAGTTGAATGTACAGAGCTCAGGAGAACCTCAGTCAAGTAAGGAATTATATTGAGCACAGAAAATTTGCAGGCCAGGTTTGCAAGCTGTGTCTCAAGTTACAATCTCATTGTATTTTTAAACTGGTGCTTCTGGCATGCTTCAGAACAGTGTGTTCTCCTAGCTGAGCATTTTAAGTACATTTTGGTTTATATTATTCTCTGCATAGCAAATACATT